CTTGGGCTGGAGGCCATCGCGGAGCGAGGAGGAGGAGGCGGAGGAGGAGGAGGAGGAGGGAAGTAGAGGAGGAGGCAGAGGATGGCGAAGTGGAGAGCAGGAGGCAGAGGGCACCCAATGGGGGGAGGGAACCAATCAAACAGAAAGATATAATGGGGAGGGAGGGGGGGGGTCGACGGGGGATGCATGGGGAAGTGCGAAGGCGAACGCGCAGACGACCCCCCTCCCCTCCTCCCCCGCGCATCTCATCCGCCCCCTCGGTGTCCACGAGGGGTCACGCAGGGCCCCAATCTATTTTGCAGTGGTTTCCTGGGCGCAGGGTTCGGGCTACCATGGGGTCATGGGCCTTGCTTGGTCTCCCTTGTCAGTTTTGCTTGGGTTTCGGTTAGAGACGTCTGTTTGTTTCTCTTTCGTTGTTTCTTTTTCGGAGGGGAGGGGTTGGGGCGGGGCGGGGCGTCGTCTGCGCTTTCGCTTTCGAACTCGGGCCACCCCCTTCCTTCCATGGCCCATGGCCCTCGCCCCGATCCCCGTGGCAACCCCCTCGTCTTCCACCCTTCCCCCCCTCTCATCCGCTCCCTCATCCTTATCCCGCTGCTCGTTCTCCTCTAGAGATCCACATGCCACTGCGCGTCGCCACCTTGACATTACTAGACGCTACGTTCCTACTCCGCTCTCCCCAGGTCCTACCCGCACCCCTTGTCGCCGTCGCCATTCCTTTCTATGTCCCGCGCCGCCTCCGCCGCCCGGAGGCGACGCGGGCCGCGGCGCTGGCAGGGCGGCCGGGCGCGCCGCTGGCCGCGGGCGCGGTCGAGGCCGCGCTGGGCGGCGCGGTCGAGGACGCGGTCGAGGCGCCTCCCTCCCTCTCAGCGGCACTGCTCGCAAAGGTCATCATCTACTATCACGCCCTCCGCTCCCCCTCGACCCTTACCGACTCTCGTGCGTTCCACCCCCTCTTAGTTGTGCGTCACGGTGCGTCTGCGTGTCGGCCGATAGCATGGCCCATGTCATACCGCATATCATGGATCACCCATAGGCCCGCGGCCATTGACTCACGATGCGTTTGCGCCCCTGAATCACCCGCTGCACAGTCTGTGCTGTCCTGCTGACTACGCCCGATCATGCTCGGCCAGTCCAGCCGCGCTGCTCCCCCCTCGCCGCCGCGAGGCCGCGGCGAGGACTTGCTCGACCCTGGGCTGGCGCGCGACGACGACGTCGAGCCTGGGGCCTGGGAGTTGGACGGCGTTGAGGACAACGACGATGACTCGATGGCTTCCGACGACAGGGCCGAGTGGCAGGGCGCCCGCGACGTGGGCGAGTCGCTCGAGGACATCGCAGCCAGGGGCGGCTTCGCCTTGCACCATGGTCTTCCAGGTGTGGCAGGCAAGCAGAGCGGCCGCAACTATGACATCTTCAGGTTCAACGAGGAGCGCGCTAGGTTTGTGCCGATTGGCAAGCTTGCGTATCAGTACAGGGACGGCGTCCCATATTCGTGCCAGGTGCACTTGGGCCTCAAGTGACAGGGCCCTGAGGGTGGAGGAGGAGGGTGAGGAGGAGGAGGAGGGGGAGGAGGAGGAGGAGGAGGTCACTCGAAAGAGGGGGGGGGATGCGAGGCCACTCGAAGGAGGGGGGGAGGGGTGCGAGGTCAATCGCAGCAGAGAGGAGAGAAGGTGGGAGGAGAAGGGGCGCTGCATGCATGCCGTTGCCCAGGTTCAGTGCACGAACGCCGCGCACAAGAGGTGCGCCAAGTGGATCAACGTGTGCAACATGCCGAACCAGGAGTTCGCCATCGAGTGGGTCAGCGTCGGGAAGGATCACGTCGACGCCGAGCGCGCGCAGGAGCAGAACACGATTGCCCACAAGTACGGCCGCACGTTATAACAGTGTCTTGGGGGACGGGGAGTTGGAGAGGGAGGAGGGCGAGGACGTCGTGGGGGAGAAGGCGGAGGCGAGCGCAGGTAGGATGGAGGGCGGAGGAGGACGCGGAGAGAAGATGACGGAGGAGGAGGAGGAGGAGGAGGAGGAAGAGGAGGAGGAGGAGGAGGAGGAGGAGGCGGAGAGCGGAGGAGGAGGAGGCGGAGGAGAAGACGGAGGGAGGATGGCGGAGCAGGAGGAGGTTGAGCGAGAGAGGCATCCCATCTCCCCTCACGCGCTGGCCCACTCCTCCGCCTCGCGCCCCGCCAGGAGAGATGGGCCGACGTCGTCGCGAAGCACAGGGCTGCTCCCGCTGCAACTGGCTGAGGCGCCCGCCCTCGGCGTCAGCGACCTTGCGAGGTCGCGGGCGCAGCGCTCAGGCAAAACAGTCTCTGAGGTCTCTGTCGTCGTGACCGTCTCGTCGTCGTCGTCGTCGTCGTCGTGGCCGACGCCGCCGTCGTCGTCGGCGTCGTCGTCGTCCCTGTCGTCATCGACGTTGTCGTCGTCGGCGTCGGCGTCGGCGTCGTCTCGTCGTCGTTGTCGTCGTCGTCGTTGTCGTCGTCGTCGTCGTTGTCGTCGTCTCTAGCGTCGTTGAGGGGGCCCGAGGTTCCGCGGGTTGCAAACGCCCCTTGGGGGACTGCGTGAGGCGGTGGCGAGGTGCCAGGGGGTCCTGGACAGAGGTCGCCTGCCCTCCCTTGGTACCTTCTGCGGGGTCCGTGGAGGAGCCCTCGCGCACGGCTCAAGGGTTTGGGTCAGGGGTGGCACCAGGGCGTGGCCAGTGTATTTTAGGATGGAACTATGATATGGTTATTTTCCATATTTATCATTATTTTTCATTTTATTATCATTTTACTTTTATTGTTTTTGATTATTATTATTACTATTAATATTAAAAAATGTATTTTTGAATTTCCCCGAAATACCTTAACCGGGCCCGGGGGGTCTTAACCGGTGGCTTCGGGGCCTTAACCGGCAATTCGGGGCCTTAACCGGGATGGTCGGAAATTCGGAAGATGCAAACATAGAGTTTAAACGTATAATAAAGTGGAAATCATTAGAAAAAATAATTTGGAAATTAACAAATAAACATAAAACAACATAGATATGATATTTACCCCCTCCTGGGCGTCGCGGACCCGCGCGCCCGCGCGCCCTAAGCGCCCCCCCCCCCCCCGCCCGCCCGAGCGGTTGGCGAGGCATGGTCCGCCGGGGAGTTCCAAGGGCTCCGAGTTTCGTCGGGCCCCCCAGGGAAAGTTTCAGGCGCCCTCTGTGCCTCTTCAGAGGGGCCGGGGAAACATTCAAGGGCCCCCAGTGCCGCCGCAGATGGGCCGGAGAAAGTTTCAAGGGCCCCCAGTGCCGCCGCAGATTGGCCAGAGAAAGTTCTAAGGGCCCCCAGTGCTTCCGCCGAGGGGCCAGGGAAAGTTTCGAGGGCCCTCGGCGCCTCCGAAGAGGGGCCAGGGGGAGTTCGAAGGGCCTGGAGAGCCTTGGGGGCCTTTGAGGGGGTGCCAGGGGGAAAGTTCTGAGGGCCTGGAGTGTCTTCGTGTATTGCCCGAGGGGGTTCTTCGGACTTGGGGCGCCTGCGCTTCGGCGCCTTGGGGGAGTGGGGGCTTCCGCGCAGGAGCTGGGCGTGGCCGCCGTGCTTGCGTTCCCCCTCCGAGGGTTCGACAGCGGTCTGGGCGCCCGCCAAGGGTTCCGAGGGGCCTGGGCACCAGGGGTCGGGTCGCCCAGGGTTCGAGGGGGTCTGGGCGCCCCGCGTTCGAAAGTGGTGCATGGCTCCACCCTCATCCGTAGCCACTCGGTTTCGATGCAGTTCGGGCGTCGCTGCAAGGAACTCGAGAAGCAGTAAATCGGGCCATCCCACGCTGGAGCAAGCTCTGACAGAGTATCGCCTGGTTGAGGCAATGTCCCAGATTGGCTCGGACGCCGACGTCGAGTCGCCGATTAAGTGCAGGCGCGTTGCTGAGTCGGGCGAGAAGGCGGACTTGTTTGCGGTGCCCAGCCTGTTCGACCCCCAGTTTGACGTTCTCAGTGCTATCCCCATGAAGCGATCTCGCACCAGAAAGTGCCCATGTGGACCTGGGCGTTGGCTTCCCATCCTTCGCGCGTCATGCAAGCCAGCCGCTGCGTTTCTTCTTGGCCCTGGGGCCCTGGGTGAGATCTCGAGGGCTGAGCTTTCGACCCCAAAGGGGTCTGGCGCAGGTGTTCCGTTTCCAGGAGTAGTAGTGATCGATTGAATTCACAGTCTCGGCCTCCGCCGCTTTGAAGCAGCGCCAGAATATAGTTTGCACGCTCCGTGATCGCAATGGGTGCAAGGGCGGTTTGAAAAACATGTGCGTCAGCTGCGCCAGGGTTTGTGGGTCGCGGGTTTTGCCGGGCCCGATTGGGCCATGGGTTCATCGGTGCCATCAGGATCCAGGATGCATCCAGAGCCCCCCCCAAGGTTCCATGGGCGCCATCAAAGTATATCCAGGATGCCCAGGACGCGTGCGTTCGTCTGCCGTGCTTGGCCCAAGTTTCACGGGCCTTCCGGCCCGACACCCCTCGGTGGGCTCGCCCTGGCCCCCTCCCCCCGCGAGCCCGCCGACGTCTCGCCGCCATGGGCAAAGTGGCGCCCAAGAGCGGGGGCACTGAGAGACGCAAGAGCGCCGAGCAGCAGATAGCAGAGCAGAAGGCGAAGAAAAAAGGCCAAGAGCAGGACCCCCAGGAACTTGGTTTTCGATCACTTCGCTCGGAAGATCCGCTCATGCGTTCTCTGCGACTGCAAGTCGGACTGCCTTCTCCCCTGTGCACGGCGCCGCTGGGGGATAATGTTCACTGACTTCTCCTCCACCTCCTCCTTCCGCCCTATTTCCCGCCTGCCTATGTCTCTCTTGGGTTGCCCTTCCTCTCGCGCCCTGTCGTCGGCGTCCTCTTCTCCTCTGTTCCTTCTTTCCTTCTCATTATACCGTTCTCTCCGTTTCGCCTCCGCCCCTTCGCCCCCCTCCCCCCCTCCTCTTCTCGTTGCTTCCCCCCCCCCCCACGCGCCTCGTTCGCCTCCCCCTCCCATCCTGCCCATCTTATCGTCCTCATTGAACCTGGCGCCATCGCAGGCGCAACCGACCGACAAGTTCTTCGGCTGCCTTCCGTGGAAGACCACCAAGCCCAGGCAGCATGTCTGCGAGGAGAAGGGCTTGCACGCCGTGCAGGACCCGGACGGGAATGTGTGGCTCGTCTGTTTTAACGTTTCGAAGGTCATGGGCATCGACCTCGAGTTCGATAGCATCCAGGCCTACTTAGAGCACATCTTTGGCAACCCCACTAAGGCGCGGCACGCGGTTTTCATGACGGCCAGGCAGAACTGGATAGACCAGCACAACGCCGACCCGAGCACGGTCAAGCTCAGGACCGAGGCCGCGTTGAGGGCGTTCAAGCAGTTGTTGACGAAGGCGAAGAGCGGCCACAGGTTGCCCATGGGGTGGTGTTTGTCTTTGTTGTTCTCCAGGGGGGTGGGGGTCCTTGGTCAGGAGTTTTGCCCCATCGGCCTTAGCGGGGCCACTGCTGGTCGCACGAAACGCCCAGGGGGAAGGAGTCTGGGCCCCGCTGCACTTCATCTTATCTTGCCCTGCCCAAGGTTGACCAAGCCGAAAAGGATGTTCGTGGAGCTCGCCCAATGCATCGAGGACTTCGAGCGGGCCCCCGCCGACGACGAGATCGACGAGGAAATCGCTGACGGGGTCGTGACTCGGGGCGTGTATCTTCTCGCGCCTGGAGAGAAGAAGGGCTACCACCACGTCGAGGGTTACGTCGACAAGCAGACGGAGCAGAGGACGCTCGTGGACGATGGTGAGCAGGCTCTGTCGGACACCCAAGTAGAACAGAAGTTCCAGTTGGCGCTCAAGGCGACGAAGGAGAAACATGACAAGCAGGACAAGAAGCTCGCCAAGCAGCCGACGATGGACCACCCTTTGCTGGGCATCCTCCAGGCTTGCAGCTTGACTTCCAGCGGCAGAGATGGCCCGAAACGCGTTCTCCAGGGCGGCGAGGGCGACGACGGGGATAGCGACGACACCAGCGAGGCCTCCAAGGGGAGCGACAGCGAGCAGCAGCAAGAGAGCGACACGTCCGACGACGAGAACCTCCGCGCCTCCAGCGGTAATCCATTCGCAGCGCTGCAGGCGTCTGGCTCGGCGGCCGCGCTGAAGACCGCCGCCGCCGCTCGCCCTGCTTCGTCGAAGCCCAAGCCCCCGGCGTCAGAGGCGGGCGGTTCCAAGAAGGGCGGGGAGGCTTCGTCGGTGGCCGGGCGCTCCCCCGCCACCAAGAGGACGGTTGCGGCTCCAGTCGACGAGGCGCAGCCAGCGAAGAGGGGCAGGGGAAGGCCGCCGACTTCCATGGTGAACGCGACTGCTACAGGCGCCGCGGCGGTCGAGAGTTTGATTGCCGAGGTGTCCAGATTGGCCACAGAAAGCTCGTCTACCCTCACGTTCGGCGAGACGCACGACTTGAGCAACAAGGAGGAGCAGAAGGCTTGCAAGGCGATCTTGGTCAAGAAGAAGGCCGATGCACTGAATATCGAGAAGTCGGTCAGCGCCTTGAAGGCGCGCCTTGGCAAGCTCGCGACTGGGTCGGGCTTGGACATGGCAGATGCCCTGAGCGACTTGGGCGTCATCATGGACACTAGTCGGCCAAGCAGCTCATCGCGGCGATGACCGCCAACATGAAGGGCGCCAACCTCGACGCCATTGACGCCTGCATTGCGGCGCTGGCGGTTGAACAGAAAGTGAGCTTCCCCTACAGGCTCAAGGTTCTCAGATTGGTGGGATAAAGGATGGGGAATTTCAGTGGCATGAGTCCTTCAAGGAAATCCCCGACGAAGAGCTCCGTAAGACGCTGAAAGACACCATTGACGAGGCTCTCTCTCTTTGAGACGCCTACGTGAGGGGCCTTGTTTGTGCACTCAACGTGCAAGGCAAGTGGGCAGATGAGACCCTTATGCAAGCCAACCTAGATCTGCTCGAGCTTAAGTGCTGGGGCTTAATTTGTATACTAGAGGCGGACTTCAGGGGTTGCCTTCAAAACGATGGGCTTCTTCGCCCCGTTTTCAACGGCCACGCCTACTACCGTCATCATCCGGGCCCTGGGTGTAGGGCCATGGGCGTGCTTGTGCACAAATCTCTGAGAAAACGTGTGAAAGACATTGTCTGTGATTGGAGATCTATCCGTGTTGATCTTCGTCCCGACTGTCTCGATGGATGCCACCATCATGCCAGATCCTTTCTCTTCTCCCATCTTGCCCATGATTTTTTCCATGATTCTCTCAATTGCGCTATCCAACTCGGTCGATCCCGCCCTGTCGGATCCACCCTCTCCTGGTTGGGGGACATGAACGCAGATCAAGGAAACGGAGACCAGAAATTCCTTTCGTTCTGCGAAGCTTGCTCCTACCTTGACCTCCATTGGTGCCCTCTCAGGTTCCAGGAGGTCTCTATGCAATTCACAAGGAAGCCCGACGGTGATCAGGTGTTCTCTCAAGCCAGCAGCACGATCGATCACATTGCTCTCGCCAGGGGTGACCTTTCCTCTGACTGCTTCGCCTGTTGGGCTGGCGTACCTGGGGACCATGCCCTCGTCGGGTGTGATGTCCTGGCCTTTCCCCAGCGGGCCCCCAAGAGAAGACCGCTCCTTTGGACCCCTACAAACATTTTGGAGGTCAGGAAGATTGCCCAGAGTCTTTTCCCCGAATCAGCAGAACTGTCTCGTCTGAATGATGATGAACAACCTGAATCTTGTGCGGTAAGGTACCACGATCCTGAGGACCTTACTCTCTCTTTCGATTTCAGGGAAAACTTGTTGGGACAGGTGTATGAAGCGACACAGGCCCCCCCTAGGAGTTTTAGGAGATTCGCCGAAGAGCCATTTTGGGTCAAGAGTCTCAGGACGCGATTTAACTCCGAACTCAACGAAGCATCGAGGGTCGCTGTGGGTCAGACACTCTTGAAAGCCCTCAAGATAACGAAACTCCAGCGTGATTTGGCTCAGGTGGCGCTCAACGCATCCCAAGGAAGGCGTGTTTGGGCCTCACGCAAGTCGCTTCTTCCAATTCTGGGTTTCTGTGTGGATCAAGTCAAGATTTTTGACGTGGATCGCTGCAACACATTAGTTGCGGAAGAATACAGAGAGAGGTGGGGATTATCTGACTTGGAACGCCAGGAGGACACTGCCTGGCTTCGGACTTTAGGTTTCTTCAATTACTACGAAGACCCCATCATCCCGTCCTTGCTGGAGGACGCGCTGGATGACATCAAGGCCCCTCGCAAGATCGACACAGAGTTTGCTTGCACGGCCATTATCAAAGTTTCAGGCTGGTCCCAGAGGCTCAAGGGGTGTATACAAGCCTGCCTAGGCAACCCAGAGTTCTGGAACAACGTCACGCTCGGGGGCCATCTTGGTAACAAGATCAAGGGTTTTGGAACACCCTCTCAAACTAGAGTTGTTATCCCTCAGCCCGCCATTGCCAAAATTGGGCACGCATATGTTGCGAGGGCCATTATTCCAGTCTTGGATTCATATACCGACTCCAAAGGTCTCAAAGGCCTGATTTTCGGGCTGAGCAAAGGTGGGCAATTGCAAGAACTTCATACGAGTGTCTATCACATTTTAGAATATGGGAGAGATCACTTTAACAAAGGAATGGTTGGGATTACCGATATCAAAGCACACCACGATCAGATTCGTTACGGAATGGTTTTACGCAGCTTGTTGGGACGAGGAGTACCTTTCTTCTTAGCAGTTGGCTGTATCAGGCTGCATAGGAACCCTCGAGTTTCCATTTCTCTCATGGATTCGAACACTGGGGTTATCCAAAGAGACCGTGGTCTGATGCAAGGAGCTGGGACAGCTTGCATTCTTGCGCGCGTCTCGGTCGAAGATTGCTTCGCCGCCACTTTGGAAAAAATCTCACACTCTTCTCTGGGAATTGCAATTCGCTGCGAACAGTTGAGACTTGACTTCAGGATTGCACTCCTCAGTTGGTCAGATAACATTTTTGTGGTGGCCTCCTCGGAACAGGACCTGGCTACGTTGACTGCCCTAGTTGAGTCAGAGCTATGGAACGAACACAGGCTCAGGCTCAAAGAAGATCGGGAAATTCTCCCGGCTTACCCATACCACTTTCAGGGCTACAAGTGGTCCGACCCCTTCGGGAAAACGTGGTCGGTTGTACCCGAGGCCAAGGTTCTGGGCCCTGTTCTCACCGCTAATGGCTCCTGCCACGAAGATGTCAAGCGGGGCATCTCACAGATCAACAAAGCCTTTTGGGCCAACAGTAAATTCTTGATTAACGGTCATATCCCCATGTCCAAACGTCTCGCTAAGTTGAACTGCATGGCGGGTGGGATTATTCGATCTAGAGGTGCCGCCTGGGTTCCTTGTAAGACGACGGCGGATTTAATTACCAAAGCACAGAACCAATGTATCAGAATCATGTTGAAACTGAAAAGGCTCCCTGGGGAATCTCCAGAACAATACAATTTACGCAGGAACCGCAAAATCAAGGGGTTCAAGGAAGTCTCGTGGGCCATTTTCCATTTAGACTCTGCTATCAGTTGGGTTTCACACATGCAAAGACATCCAGAAGATTTTTCGTCGAGGCTTTTTCAATATTGTAAGCACTGGGTTTCCCAGAATCGCCACTTTGACCACTCTGGTGGCAGCCGTACACATTCACGCTCGCACAGGGGATTCGTTTTCAGGTATGATAAGGATGCCTGGACCACCTTATTTTCGCCGCAGGGTTCTAGGGACAAAAAGTTCCGTCTGGGCCTTGCCAAAGAAATGTTCGATTGGATTCGACAACCGCTCCATCTTCGTCTTCAGTAGCCATCGGCTCGGTCTGGGGTTGCCAGGCACACTTCGGTATCGCACTGTTCCCTCTGGGGCTCTTTTCTCACACCACGGACACTCCATACTCTCAGGATTTGGATCGGTCTGGGAACCAGATCCAGCCTACCATTCCCCTTTTCTTTGGTTTCGACCGCCACGCCTTAGATCGTTGGGCTCGCAATCGTCAAGTCAAGATGGAAGCGAAGTCCATTCTCATCGCGAATGATAAGAAAGTCAAGTTGCAGAAAAAGCTCGAACAGAAGAGGGAGGATCAAGCTAGGTCAGTTGGGTTCAAGAACCAGGAACTCAAAGCCAAGGCATCCTCAAGCGCTGGCCCTCACGATGCAAGGATCCTCCCCACTCCACCCCCTGCTCCCGTGCGCAGGGGAATTTCGGCCTCTCGGAGTCGTTCGCCGATTGCCAGGAAGATGCAGTACTCAATTGGGTTCAAGAAACAACCGCAGGAAGGCGGGGCTGGGGCAAAGCCCGAATCAGACGATATTCTGCCTGAGACACAGGACTATCGTGGGAATACGCCTGTCAAGCCAGCGGGCGGTACGACTTGGGAAGTTGGCTCGTCAGATTCCCCAGGTTCCGGGAGTTCTTCCTCGGGCTCTGAAGCAGAAGTCGACTCGCCCGACCGTAAGTCACAGCCTGCCCCAAAGAGCTGGGAACAAGATAAGAAGCCCTGGATCAGCAAGTTGGGCCCTCCCATTCTGAAGTCACAATTAGAGTACGATCATTCGGGATGCCCGATTTTTGCCCCAAAGGGCGGCACGGACCACACCAGCCCAAGGCGCTATATCATGGTCTTCGTTCCCCAGCTCACAGGCCTGAACACTGTTAAGGCAAAGGTCGGAGAGCACGTCCAAATCTTTACTGTTCGTGAGCTCACCCCTTTTATCATAGATAATCAGGGCCCACTGATCGCGGAAAGCATCCCAATTTTGGGTGAGCACGGTTACCTCACCACCAGGGATGTTACAAAGATCTTACATCACTTTGGGCTTAACACGTTTCGATCCAAGGACATTCACCTGTTCAACGCGAAGTTCTACACCAAAGAATTATCCATTGGTCCTGAGATCTGCCCCAAAAAGGAGAGGCTTCACGACAAATCTCAGATATTCGCAGGCAGCTGTGTAGTGGCACTTCTCTACGTCAAGGATTCGTACGAAGATGTCGGCGACCTTATCACCGTGGAGACAGGAAACAGTGCAACTGTTAGGTGCCACTTACTCTGCAAGCCTCGATTCCTGATGTGATCGTAGCAGCTCTGAGGACACGAACTAACTTTCCTGTCGTGGGATTATCAGTGCCCTTTGGTTCAGTTGTGGTTCAATTGGGACGCCAGAGTTCTCGTTTACGGAAGATATCATGTTCTTCTCGTCCCAGTCTCCGTCAGGGCCAAAGTAGTGGAGCCTTTATTGTTTGTCCGCAGCCCAGATGGGATTGCCTCAAATGGGGTATGATTTATCTTTAGTTTAGCTCGCCATTTCAGTTAAATGGACAGTTGGGTTCGTATGTGTATTTCTTTGCTTTGTCCTTGGCTTTCGTTGCAATTTGGGATTACTTGACATCAGGAGTCTCTCAGGGCATTTGGTCCACGGTTCACCTGACCAGAGCTAGGGCTGCTTCTTTTCTTTTCTTCTCGACTCAACTGATGTGGTTCTTCAGATGGTGGTTGGTTTCCTTCTTCTCTCCCGTGCAGTGAGTTTGGCCTGGGATTGTTAATTCCGCCTTGCGGGCCAGGACTTGGACTGTCGCCGGTACTCCGATAAAGGGCATCTGCTTTCTCCATCACCCCTCTCTTGGTCTTTGTCATTCT